CTTTCCAATGTGCCAGGGGGTGCTCACTGCTCAACCCCTGGCTCTGTCACAGGCCCTGCCCCCACTCCAGCCCTTCCTGTGCCCTCGCTCCTTCACCTCCACCACCCCCCCCCCCAAGATCCTCCTGCAAGCCACAAAACAGCTGACCAGGAGGTACAGGGAGGGAAGGGGAGGCGCTGATCAGTGGGGCTGCCAGTGGGTGAGAGGCGCTGGGGGACTGCTGATGTATTACCGTGGCTCTTTGGCAATGTACATTTGTAAATTCTGGCTCCTTCTCAGGCTCAGGTTGGCCACCTATGATTATCTGGTCTAACCTCCTGACTAACACAGACCATAGAATTTCACCCAGCAATTCCCGTATCAAAGCCATACCACCCTGTGGTTGAGCTAGACAATCATTTTAGAAAGACAATCAAGCTTGATTTAAAGACTTCCTGAGGTAAACTGTCCCAATAGTCCATTACCTTCTCTATTAAGAATTTGCTCCTCAATTCTAGCCTGAATTTATCTAGCTTCAGACACTGGATTTTGTTATGCTTTTGTTTGCTAGGTTAAATAGCTCTCTACTATCAGAAATGTCAGTACTTACAGACCATGATCAAGTCACCTCTTAACCCTCTCTATGATAAGACGGAGGCTTATGTGATTAATGAATTACAGGCCTAAATATTAGTACTTGGAAAAAACACAACTTGGCTGAAATTGCTGAACCGCCAATATGCAGAGGGGCATACCAAGAGTCTCATCAGCCTCTGTGAGATGCATAGCTGAAATCTGCTGCAGCCTGCTCCACTAGAGAGCAGAAGGGGAGTGTTTGTGGTTTACTTCAGCTAGCTGGCCACATTCTAGATATTGGCATGGGATCAGAGATCACAGGTGTGTGTGTGTAAACTGTGCCCTTGGAAAGGATATCACATCACTACACTTCATCATGAGGCTGGGGTGCACCATTCCCACTGAGAGCAAGGGCCTGATTTGGCTCAGCACTATTGGAGGTCAAACAGAACATGCTGGGTTCTAAAGAAGATTACTATTTTCCCCCACAACAGTTCTATCAAAGGTTTGGTAAGACTTTATAAAGCCAGCAAGACAGTGACTCCTAAATACTCTTCCTCACAGACCAATCATATTCAGATTTGAGACAAGTGAAGCAAAAGGGAAGATGGTTAGAATGCAGGTGGCATATGTCTCTCTACCAATGGGATCCATGACAGCATACACAGTTTTTGAAAGTGACTTACCATACATTTAATTATTTTCAAATTATATTTAATATGTTCTTTTCTGAATCTGCCAAGTGTTCATTCAAGACCATCTTTTTTCTATGTTGGAAACATAGGATTCTTCCTACATTTAAATTGAAAAAGGCAACAGACCAAGATTCGGTTTTTTTATCATTATATTTTAAGTTTTTTAATATTATTTTGGGCCTGTCATAAAGGAGTTTTTTGTTTCTTCAGGAATTTCCAGTAAAAAAAACAACAAAAACAGAATAAAAACACAAGACATGATTTCTGAATGCATCATTACTAGCTGTAGGTTAAACTAGAAACACTGTTTTAAAGCAGTTTGTGCTGATGAATTATGTCAGGTCTATTGGAAAAATGTTAGAGAGATCTAGAATACCAATATATTTTGTTCTGTGGTGGGGTGAAAACATGAGGGTGGTGTGTGTATTTGTCAATTCCCTGTCCCTCTCTCCTCCCCGCAACTACAATATCTCAGAATCTAGTAACATCAAGGAGAAGAGTAGTGGCAGCGCAGAGGAGAAGAAAAGGAAGGAACATATGGTCCAAGTCTGTATGCTGCTGAGCACCCTCAACTCTGACTTTGACGGGAGTTGTGGGTGCTTGGAATCTCATCAGATTTGGCCCTTAAGACAAATGAAAAAACTCTTACCTCCTTCACCATTACTCTGTCTACCCAGATACACTAAGTACCAAATCAAGGGTGCAACACCAATTTTAGTGAAACTAATGGCCTCTGGTTGCAGTATATAATATACACATGTATCTTGTGACAAGTAAATTGAAATGAAAAACTAGATCAGATGGAAACATGCTCATTTTGTTCCACTGAAACTGGCTCAGCAGTATTTAGCAGTGCTTGACCTAGTTCCTACACCAGCTTTTTGCTGTCATTTCCTTCGACAATCTGTCAGTGCAGTTGTGAATATAGAGATTAAGGAATGAAAGTTTGGAAACAAACGATCTGGGCTTTCTCTGTTAACACCATCTACAGTCAGAGAGCTTTTGTGATCTAAGCAATAAGGTACGCAGTGCCAGAGTAGCCTCTTTGTACAAACAACACAGTACTTCATAATAGCTGATGTCCTGCAAAAGGCTTAAGCCTTGAAGCAACTGCTGTATACTACTTTACTGCACTCTGAAATGAATGTTTGGAGGAGTTTGATTTTTGACACTGCCCCTAACTAGAAAAATCAATGTCAACTCTCCATCCCATTTTTCAATCAATGAAGAGATCAGTATCTGTAAACAGCTTTAGGACTAGTCTACGCAACAGGTTTAGGTCAACATACGCTGCTTTGCTTCAACCTAGCTGTGGAAGAGTCTTCCCTTAAATTTGGCTCCCGCTGACGTAAGAAGCTCTCTATGCCAATTTAGTAACACTACCTCCCTGAGCGGCATATGGTCATGGTCGATGTAATTAGGTCGATGCAGTGTCTACGCTGACATTGTGTTGATTACGTCAACTGTTACTGGCTTTCAGGAGCTGTCCCACAATGCCCCACACCAACAATACAATCGATACAAGTGCTCCTGGTGAGGGCATGAACCACCAAAACAAGAAGCCCAGTGTGCACCCATATGAGCGATTTAGTAACCAATGTAAGTTAGGTCGACTTAATTTTGTAGTTTAGACATGGCCTTAATTTTCAAACTAGCTTACTTGTTGTATTCCACAATTCTTTTTAAACAAGGCTTTTTTCTTTTTATAGAAAAAATATTAGGACTAGATTTACTACTCACAAAAGGGAGGTACAAATACTGTTGGCCTGAGACAGATGCTGTGCTCACTTGTCCTACACAGCTCTACCACTGTACCTCAACCCAGACATTCAACAGTCCTGTTTTCAGTTTTGGGCTTCTTGACAGGAGAAAACCATTAACTTGCTGTACCTCCTAGACCTGAATACTTTAGCTACATAAGGAAGATATCAAATCAAGTTATATCCGATTTAATGCCCCCCAATTATGCACTTCCCAAAAACAACAGTAATAATATTCTACATCCTCTAAAATAAAATTAGTTTAAAAACTGGCGCATAAAAACTAAGTCTCTTTGCTGGCTAATTCTAGATTATTAAAATTCATTATTAACCATATTACATACTTCGGTCAAGAGTAACTAACTATTTTAGATGTCCAACTTGAGAGCCTCAAAGGGGCCTGATTTTCAAACTGTGGGTACTCAGCAATTTTTGAAAATTGGGCCTTTTTAAAAGACATTTTATGTTGGGCACACAAAAATTGAGACAACCACAATCACTAGTCACGTTTGAAAATCTGGGCCTAGAAGAGGATTTACAAATAAAAGATTTTTTTTTTTTAATTTCTTAATATGAACCATGTTCTACTCATAAAAATAAATAATCCAGGAAACTTGCACAGGAAACCTTCAGTGTAGGTTTCCCAAAACACATCTACAGTATACAAAGTGCTAAATCCAATCATGGTAGCAGGACACTACAACTTTTCTATTTTGCAACATTTTATGTGCACAAAAAAAGGAAACTCAAATCTTCTCCCTCCCCCACCTTGCAAATTCAAGATTTGGGGGAAAAATCATCATTTTGCTGAGCATGTTCGGGGCAACCTTTGCAGTTCTGTCTATTGCCAACTAAAATGACAAAATATTACAAAGCGGTGGATTTTAAACTGTCAGTCCAAGCAATAAAACAAAAACAAATGCAAGACCTTTGAAGGTAATACGAAGGGGGGAAAAAAGTACTACTGTTAAACTACAGCAGGCGTGTATACACGCAAGGGACTGTGTGTAGCAGAGATCAAGGTAACTGCAGGTTTTGAGTAAAATTTACTTAAACGAAAGCCAAAAATCATCAGTATAAAAGTATTGGCCACTCTTCCTGTTAAAAGATATTTGGGGGGGAGAATGGGAAGGAATCACATCTGAAAATATAGCTGTTCTTCCTCTCTGCCTTTTAAATTTATCTCCTTTTTTATAATAGTGTCCAGTCTCCCTGATATCATGTTACCTCTGCAAATACACTGCTTACCCCTGTAAAAAGTGTGGGGATGGAAGCCGCACAATTTTGTTTCTTCTAGCAAACTAAAGTTGTGTTGGATCACAGATCCTTTGTAAACGAGCCATAAAACACAGGAGAAGGGCACAGAAAAATAGGTCTGTACATTGTCGTTCTCAGGAAGCTTAACAATAGAAAGAATAGAATACCAATTCAGTTTCCCTATCGGTTATGGGGAATCGTCCCAAGTAAACAGTGGCGAAATATTTTGTCATACAGGAAAATAAAGACTTGCAGCTTAACACACGCAAACAAAACCCCCCTTTGTTTTGTTTTCACCCGTCTGCTCCCATGCCACTCCACTAACTGGGTTCAAACCGGGATGTGTGCAAAAGGAAATGAAGTCCGAGCTCAGCAGGCGCGTCTCGTTTTGGGGGCAAAAAAACCAAGTCAAGTTTAGAAAGAGTCAAATAAAGCCGGAGGCGCTGGGCTCAGCGGCAACTCCGTGACAAAGGGCCGCGCTCCGCAGCACACCCAGCTCGGCCAGGGGCGGCGGGGGGCGGCTACGCTCCGGTGCCCGGGGAACTTCCCGTGAGGACCGGCACTGACAGCGCTCCCCAGGCAGGTAGGTGTCGGCACAGACCCACGCGCCCGTCACCGTGCCCGGGACGGCTGGGGTGCACCAGAGGCAGCCGGCGGTGGGGGGGGGGGGATTTCTGACCCCTGCCCCCCCGCCCCCAGCTAACACGTACCGGCCGAGAGTCGCCACACTCACCCGGCCCAAACCAGCGGCGCCCACCGTCGCGATTCCGCGCGGCTCGAACCCCGGCAGAGAGCCCCGCGGCCGGAGGCGCGCCCCCGCCGCTACGGGTCCAGACCCCCGGCAAGGGGGGAGGGCGGAGAAGTTCCGGGCTGGGGCGCGGAGCCCAGAGCGCCTCCCGCTCAACCGGCAGGGCTGCGGCACGGACCGGGGAGCTCCCTTTGTGGCCGGCTTCGAGGCGGACGCGAGCGCGAGCTGCCGACCGCCAACGAGCTTCCAGCGCTCTGGGTCTGCGGCGGCGGTAGCGGCGGCTCCAACACCCCGCCGGGTGGGCGGGGCGCGGTGACCGCATCAGCCCGCGCCATCGCGCGGGGGATCATGGGAGTTGTAGTTCTTTTTTTCTCCCCCCCCCCCCTTGGGTGGTTAGTCTCTGCCCGGCAAGGGGGGAGGGTTGATTTTGCCAGAGGAGGTTCCCAGCCCTTTGGGTGGCGGGTGCAGGAGCTGCCGGGCTGTGGGGCAGGCCGTGGGCCAGCGGAGCCCATCAGGCTGGCTCCCACCCTGGCCCGTGCCAGAGCTTCAGGAAAGCCTGTAGAACAGGGCAGCTATGGAGTGATCCATCCCGTCTTCCACTCCCCGCTCCTGGCAGTCAGAGGCGGAGGGTCTCGTCCCAATCCCCCTGCATTGGGTGTCCCCCACACCATAACAGCTCTTGGTGGACCTCTCCTCTGTGAGCTTATCTCCTTCTTTTCTGAACCCAGTTATGCTTTTTGGCCATGACACCCAGTGGCGGATTAGCCACTGGGCCAACGGGGCCCGTGCCCAGGGGCCCCGGCCAATTGGGGCCCCCTGGAAAAATGGGTGTCCCCGCGACTAGCTCCACCCACCCAGCGCTCCTGTTGGGAAAGATCCCTGCATCCCAACCCCACTCCCCACCTGGAGCACTGGGTGAGGGGACAGGGTGGGGAAAGCCCCTGTGCTTTGACCCCATTTCCCCAACAGGTGGGCTGGGGGGGATTGCAGGCAGAAGGGAGGGGGAGAGGCCCCCCACTTGCTCTGACCCAGGGCCCCACAAATCCCTAATCCACCTCTGAACATCCCATGGAAATACGTTCCATCGGTTAGTTGTGCACTGAGTGAAAAAGGAGACTTCCTCTTGTTCGTATCCAACCTGCATCTGCCCAGGGAAGCCAGGGCAGTGGGTTGAGAAGCCTGATGCCACACTAGCTGAGCGCATCTGCCCACGGGAGTCTCAGAGCAATGCACTGTGAAGCAACTACCAATTGGGGATGCCTGACTGGAGTAGCACTGCCAAAGTCAAGCACTTGAAAGTCACAAAACAAGCCTAAAAAAAATCACAATTGACTTAATAATCATGTTTAAAATAAATAAATAAATCAGGGGTGGGGGTTGGCCTCAGAGAGGGGAGGGTTCATATTTTTGTGCAGTTGTAATTAATTTCCTTGAAAAGAAGGCAGTCATCTTAGCCCTGGGTGCGGGTATTATTGCTCCGATGTCCATTTTATAGAGTGGGAAACAGGGACAAAGAGACTGACTTGTCCAAAGTCATACAACAAGTCCATGGCAGAGCTACGAATCCAACTGCTGAGCCACAAGGATTGGATGTAAAACAACCTAGTCACATCTGAGGCAAATGCCACGCTATGATACAAACTTAATCATGTGATGATGATGCTGTGTGACTCTCAAAAGTAATGTTAGGACTCTGTTGAGCCCTGGGTTGCTTTTGCTGAATTTGGACAATTCCAGAGAAAAAAATCCAGAACAGCAGCTGGTCATTTAATTTATCAGTGCCACAATTCACCCACAGCTGAGGAGAACAACTTACCTGCCTGACAGAGGGGTTATGAGTCTTAGTAAATGTTTGAGCTTGGAGATCCTCAGACAAAAGGCCCTATATAAATGCAAAATATTATGATTCGATTTTATAGGTTCCTTCCCCCATCCAATTAATCAGAGACACAGTGTGCATCCCAAGGCCCGGTATGGTCTATGAAGTCTTAAAATACATCCCACCATGACTCTCATCTCCCTATAGTTATATAGAGAAAATAAAAAGCTGATCAACTCCAGATTTTTATTCCTGGTGAACACAAACAACTAACTTTTCCCTTTTTCCATCAAGGAACATACAAGTAAATACAATGATTGTGTGTATCTGTAATTGGTTTAAATGGATGTATATGTATATAAAAATTAGGCATGATTTTTGGGATCCTGGAATGCTACTAATAGACCCTTCAGCATTACATAGGTTAGGCACCCCACAATGAAGCAATGAAATAGAAGGTAGGAAAAGAATTGACTCAGATACAAAAGGCACCAGCTGTGATTCATCGACAACAGCTTCAGCGACTTACATATTTAAACAGAGAGAGTGAAATTATTAAATGATTATTCAGTGACGTATGAGAATTCCCATGAGATACACCTGAGATGGTGGTATGATATGACAAGTAACTGATCATTGTAGTGGGAACGATGATACACACTCACAAATATGTACATACCAACTACCGATGTATGAATATCAATTATTAATAATTACGTATAGTACAGTAGCCAGAGTGCCTAGTTGAGATCTCATTGTACTAGATGCTGTACAAACACACAATGAGTGGGGAAGCATTGTTTTCACTTTCCTTTATACTTTAACCCCTATTTGTATAGCATTTTTTATCCCAGAGCAAACTGAACTGAACTAGTGCATGCCATGTATAGGAATCACTTCTTCCACCAATTAAATATAACTATCCCTCAGACAAAATATATCAACTGTGCCAAAGCACAGAGTTACACTACACAGCAGTTTGGGAGAGAAGTGAAGGATATTTTATCCATTTGAAACTACAGGGGGAAAAGTAGGTAGGAAGACTATCCTTACCCAAGCTAAAAGAAAAGGAATACTTGTGGCACTTTAGAGACTAACAAGTACTCCTTTTATTTTTGCGGATACAGACTAACACGGCTGCTACTCTGAAACTTACCCAAGCTGTAATTTGGTTGAGGTTAACCCCTCTCTTTTGTGTAAAAAGTGCCTTAGGGTCTTTAATTACCATAAACAGTGATGAAGTGAGCTGTAGCTCACAAAGCTTATGCTCAAATACATTTGTTAGTCTCTAAGGTGCCACAAGAACTCCTTTTGTTTTTGCATAAACAGTTAAGACCTTTGGTTTACTCTCATCCCAAAGATGGGAGGAAGAGGGAGGATTCTAGCATGTTGCTACAGATACAGAGGAGGAACTTGGGTTACATATGGCAGATATATTTGAAGTCAGGAGTGAGGGCTGGGGTGTGTGAGGGTGGCTGACAGACCCAGAAAGATAAAGTAGGTGAAAATCTTTAGATTTCAGCTGCTACACCCTACTTTGTTGTATGCATTGGTTAGGTTAGTGAGGGAGATTCTGATTTCTGTGGGCTATTTACATGGCAGAGCTTTTGTTTCCTCTTTCACTGATGTTACTGTGTACAAAATTGCATGGATTCTACATTAAAATGTTCACTAGAGTCTTGCATAGACAACGAGGGAGTGTTTCCTTATGACCACATAAATATAGATACTTTCCTCACCTTTTCCTAAAAGGAGCTATGTAGTAGTGTTGAAAGTTCTTTTTGTGATTCAAATCTACACACTGAACAGAGCAACTACCATGAAAAATGAAAAAAGCTTAACGCATTTCATGTTAAGACACAATGAACTGGGACCTGTAGTTTTGTATTTTCCCAATCTTACTTCTTTTCATGAGTGAAATGAATAATGGTGGATATCATGGCGATAGCAGGCTGCCAAATCCTGCCCAAATGTGTCTGTGTATATGTGTGTGTGTGTATATATACACAGGGACATACATACAGAAAGTACAGAGAGAGAGAGAGAGATTAAAGGTCTCTGCCTTTGTATATCACACCACTACTCTAGCATTATTGCTGATGATTATTATATCAGTTTTCATAGATCACTTGGTCTGGGCAAAATTCATACTCTGAATGACTAGAGTACTATTTCACCTGAAGTACCCTTGTGGTTGTGGAAAAAAAGAACACATCAGTTTACTTTGTTCTATTTTTTCCCCAGCTTACGGGAAATCATGAACTGAATGTGACCTCTGATCTTATTTTCTCTTTCTTGTATATATTTAAATATACATAAATAAATTTCAATTGACCAGATTTTTTTCATATGTAGAAAACCACTACCAAAATCTGAATTAAAAAAAAATAAAATTCCTTGGAACATCTTGTTTTATAATTAATTTCAAATAACATGTTTTATTTTGTCTGAAGGAAACGCCTGATGGAATAATTGAAGGGAGGGGGGAAATTAAACAGTATATAGCACTTATTTATCTCCCCACTACATGTTTACTACCCTGGTTATAGCACAAATTGGTTCTGGTCCATGACTTGGACTCCTAGATGCACCACAAATAATTATTTTAGTATATTATATGTAATATATTGTATACTAAATTATTATGATTTGATAACTGTGAATTACACAGTGAAACTAACTGTGCATTTGGTACTGTATATGGGAACAAATATACAGGTGTGCCTTTTATTATGGGCCTTTTCTACAGTGGGCTTTTTCCTAAAAAATGTCCATCTTTGCTAGCACTTGATGTAGCAGCAGCAGAGGGCTGGTATTGACATGGTGATGGTGGCCACATGTATTTTTAGCACCATGTTGTGTAGAACTGACCAGGGGGATTAGATGACATTGGACCCACGCCCATAAAAATCAGTGGGACCCTTTGGTTTGAGCAGTTTGGCTCTGATCCAACAAGGTACTTAAGCACATGCTTAATTTTATGCACTTGATTAGTCCCTTTAAAATTAAACATATGCTTAAGTGCTTGGCTAGATTGAGCCAGTTTACTCAGCACCTTGCAGGACTGATCCCATAGTATTGAAAACACCTGTGGCCAGTGGTGTCTTCTCTGTACTAGTACTCCTATTTTGCTACCACTGGAGTTAGCGTTTGTGGATCATATTTCAGGACATAAACTAGGGTAGACACAGTCCTAATGATTGTGATCTTGAATTTACTTTGTGTTGGATTTTTTAAAGAGAGGCTGAGAGACCTGGAGGTGATATACTTCCATATCTTCCACGGGGCTCACTTCCTGTTTTTATGGGACCAGTTTCCAGTTCCCAGTGAAGTCTGTGACAAAACTCCCATTAACTCCATGGAGAACATGCCTCTCTATCTTGTCAGGGAGAGATACATGTGCAACTGAGGAAGAACAAAATGTATGTGACTAACTGAATGAACATGTGTGTGTCCGTGTGACACCAG